ATAAAGGTGCTTTGGGATTTTCACACTGCAGCATAAGAACTCCAAGAAGATGTTTAACTGGACTGACAACGTGGCAGGTTGGATCACATTTTTCCAAAGATTGCATTCTAAGCTTAAAAAGATTATTAAGTTTACAAGAGCTAACTCTTGGTATCTTTCAATGCCGTTACAAGGTTAAGCTATTGTAAGGTGCAAACAAATTGAAAAATAAACAAGTTCCAGAAGACTGGAAGGTGGCTAATGTTGTTCCATTGTTTAGGAAAAGTAGCAAAGACAAGCCAGGAAACTACAGGCCAGTGAGCCTGACATCAATGGCAAGCAAGTTATTGGAGAGAATACTGCAGGAGAGGCTGTGGTCAGGAAAAAGAAGAAGGCACACATTGGGTTTAAGCTATCAGACTCAAGTGAATCCCTAGATGACTATAAAAAGTGTAGGAGTACACTCAAGAGGGAAATCAGACGAACGAAATGAGAGTATGAGATTGACCTGGCAGATAAGATTAAAGATATCAAGAGGTTTTACAGCTATATTAAGAGTACAAGCATCACGAGGGAGAGAATAGGTCCCCTCAAAGATCAGCTTGGCTGTCTGTGTGTGGACCCACAGGAGATGGGGGAGACTTTTAATGAATACTGTTTAAGAAAAGTAGCAAAGACAAGCCATGGAACTACAGGCCAGTGAGCCTGACATCAGTGGTAAGCAAGTCATTGGAGAGGATACTGAGGGACAGGATCAACCAACATTTGGATAGTCAAGGTCTGATTAGGGATAGTCAGCATGGATATGTGTGCGGGAAGTCATGTCTGACAAATCTTTTAGAGCTTTTTGAAGAGGTAATCAAGAGGATAGATGAGGGTGGGACAGTGGATGTTGTCTATATGAACCTTAGTAAGGCCTTTGACAAGGTCTCACATGGCAGCGAGTCATGAAAGTTAGGTCACATGAGATCCAGGGAAAGCTAACAAATTGGATTCAAAATTGGCTCGATGGTAGGAAGCAGAGGGTAATGGTTGAAGGTTGTTTGTCGGACTGAAGACCTGTGACCAGTGGTGTGCCACAGAGGTCAGTACTGGGACTTTTGTTATTTGTTATTTACACAAATGATCTGGATGTGAATATACAAGGCATGATCAGTAAGTTTGAGAATGTCACAAAAGTAGGACATATCACTGATAGTGAAGAAGGTTATCAAAAATTACTGAGGGATCTTGATCAGATGGGGACGTGGGCTGAAGATTGGCAAATGCAATCCAATACAGATAATGGTGAGGTGTTGCATTTTGGAAAGTCAAACCAAGGTGGGGCATATACAGTAAATGGTAAGGTCCAGAGGAGTGTTGTGGGACAGAGGGACCTACGAGTACAAGTACATAGTTTGTTGAAAGCGATGTCAAAGATGGACAGGGTGGTGAAGAAGGTATTTAGCATGCTATCCTTCGTTGGTCAAGGCATTGAGTACAGGAGTTGGAATGTTATGTTACAGTTGTATAAGTCATTGGTGAGGCCGCACTTGGAGTATTGTGTACAGTTTTGGTCACCCTGTTTTAAGGAAAGACATAGTTAGACTGGAAAGTGTGCAAAGAAGATTTACGAGGATGTTGCCAGGCCTAGTAAACCTGAGTTATAGGGAGACATTGACCAGGATAGGACTTTATTCCTTAGAATGTAGGAAAGTGACCTTATTGAGGTGTATAAAATCATGAGGGGCATAGATAGGTTGAATGCATATAGTCTTCTTCCCAGGGATGGGGAATTGAAAACTAGAGGACATAGGTTTAAGATGAGAGGTGATAGATTTAAGAAGGATCTGAGGGGCAACTTCTTCATGCAGAGAGTGATGGGTATATGGAATGGGCTGCCGGAGAAAGTGGTTGAGGCAGGTGCAACAGCAAATTTGAAAAAAAACATTCAAACAGGTAAATAGATGAGAAGAATTTAGAGGGATATGGACCAAATATGGGCAATTGGAACTGGCTGAGTGGGCACCATGTTCAACATGGACCAGTTTGGGCCAAAGGGCCTGTTTCCATGCTGTATTACTCTATGACTCTATGTTCACATATTTACTGCTTTACTGTGTTTGTAGGCAAATTAGGCTACATAGAGATTTCAATGTTGATCCTGAAACTCCACTTTGCATGGACTGGTGGATGGATCCCCTGAGATTAAACTTCTTGGGATTTTACTGTAGAATTTTAAGACAAGAAGTCTGCAGGTCCAATATCACTCCAGAAATATCAGCAGAATCCTGCTAATAGATTTTTCATACTTATCTATTTGTCCATGGGTTGCCAGGGTCTATTCACATTCATTGATCATTTAGAAAACAAATTAATAGATAAGAAATGAAAACAGAAAACAATGAATACATTCAGAAAATTAGACAGTATCTATGGACAGTACAACTGATTTAATGTTTGAATTTGGTGACCTTCAATCAAATTGTTCTGCATTTTTTTTTGGTTTAATTTACCATGTGTTCTTATCAACCAAAATGCCCTCACATTAAATTTGATTAACATATTGAGGTATTTTTGAATATTAGATTGATCTATCTGAACTCATTATTAATTTGTAATTACACATGCCCAATTTAACCATGATTTTACAGCATTTAGTGTAATATTAATTTTCCTATAAACAGCTATTAAAATGGAGCACCTTCTTAGTTTGCTGGTGACTGAAAACTGCCTTCACACAGGTGTTGAAATGTGACTATAGCACCTAAATCTATACAGTCCTACAGCAAGCCATGATTTCAAACATCGTATGCAGCCCAGCACTTAAATTTGTTCTCAGTATAGAATGTTTATTCCAATAGGAATTACACTGTTATTTTTCTTCTTTAAGTATTATTTTACTCATTTTGGTGTAATGTAACATTCAACAAAAACAGATAACACTTGTATGCAAACAAAACAATACATACAGCCTCATATTATTCACTGTAGTAAAAGTTGTACTATAAATTTAACATGTTTTAACATTAGCTTTTTTGTATATTTGTAGCTGAAATATTTGGCCTACATTCAGACTTGTTCCACGTCTTCTCCATTTCTCATCTGACAAAGGCACAATTGTTACTTACTTTAACTCTAAACATCAGATTCTTTTATCATTTTGATTTTTTAAAATTATTAAAATCAGCCTTTCCACAAATTCCATGTCCTGTCTTTGAATATTCACAACATTTTTGATTTTAGTTCTCAATACTGACATTTTCTGTTTTCCAGAAAAGATGAATATTAAAATTGGTTCAATTACAGTTGATGGATCTAAGTTTCTTTTTCTCTCTGTGAGCTGGAACTGAGTGAGCAGACCAGACATTTCACTTACAAAACTTTATTTTTGTATAACAATTAGTACAGTTGAACTAACAAGATGCTGGAAATAAATGGTAGCAAGGTGACACCAAAAACTGTATACAAGTAGATTTAAGTCAATTTTGTCCATAGTAATTTTATTCTAATTTGATATTTGCTTGCATTAAATGTATGGCACTCAAAAAAGCATTAACAAAATGACTTTGCTGAAGTCATTCCTTAAAAACGAACATTTAAATAGAACCTTTCCTGATCTCTGCATATTCAAAGGTTTACATCTAATTACGCATATTTTGAAGTCTAGTTACTGTTCTCTTGTTGGAATCAAAACAGTCACTTTGCACTCAGCAAGGTACTGAGATAAAAACCAAATAATGATGATGAAACTGGAGAAGGGTGGTGCACAGGAAACTGGCTTTACTGTACCAGTGGCCTTGCTCAGCCCAATATTCACTCCAGTTGAGTTTCAAATGAAAAACACACATGGTGTTACGTAATTGTGGGAAAATGTAATTTAGCCTTTTTATTTCAAATGAGACCACCCCTGTTTTCGTCCCCAATCTATCGACTGTAGGATAAAGATTGGCCAGGGGACCTGTGAGAGCCCTTTTTTTTCTCTGTAAGTTATCAGAATTGAATTTTATGACAGGGAAATGGCTTATTCACTGATTGACATGCGTTTTGTTCCATTCAGCTATACACATCACAAACTAGTTAGAACATAGAGAATAAATAATCATCAATATAATAAGCAAATCTCTGACTTGTGCACTGTTTGATAGCCATTGAGAATGTAAAAGTGTTGTATATGGTATTTCAAATAAACTCAGATACAAAGATGTCCCTACATTTAAGGTTGATGGTGGGGATAGACAGGCAAGTACAGGGTAACATTCCAATCACAGCATGAAGACTGGGATGCTTGGTACAAAATAGATTGCCTAAAAGGGCTTCATTTCAACTGTACGTGACTACATTTAAATGAATAATAATCGTAATCACAGTAATCGTAATTTTAAAGAAATCTACAACTATTGACTACTCCAGATTCCCAGGACAGCCTCTGTGCGCAAGACTCATGAACCTGTACTAAAACGCACACCTCCGAACACAGCTTGCATGTGATCTTGAATTGAGATCGCAGGGTATTCCATACCATTTCCAATCACTGAGGAACAACAACTGAGATACCACTGCAGCCAGCTGGCTGGATAGATCATCGCTGTGAAGCCCGTTAGAGACATAGTGCAAATAACATGAGCACCCAGTGCCTCGGGGTCATTCAGTATAGTCACATGGAAATCATTCAGTTTACTCCAGTCTTCCAACAAACATATCGTGCAGGTTTTTAACCTTGTGCTAGTTATATATCTACACATTTGAAAGAGCTATTTACATGTGAAAGTTCTAAAGTGCACAACAAAATAGGTGAGAGCAAACAGCACAGTTACTTGTTGCTATCTCTCAACAAGGCGGAAATGCAATGTGTTCAATCTGATATTCAGGACGAAGTTCATATACTTAGATTCCATTTGGCAGCTCCCAAGGTAGGGGGCAAGGTAATCAGATTGTAGCCAAAGTGTCATCCCTTGGGATACTTTGTTCAATGTTATCTAACATTACCTTGGCAATGAAGCCATGAGGAAATGGCAAGAGGCTGGGGGGGCATTTCAGCTTCACACATAAGCTGAGTCACTGGATTGAGTTCTTCCAAAGTTAGGTACCCCCATTCGGTGCGGTGAGTCCTTGTTTCTGATTTCATAGATGGATTTCCGCCGCTCCTGCGCCCCCCTGACTGCTGTCTTGATCTTCCTCCAGCCCAGGTGATTCAGTTCTGCCAGGTTCAAAATGACACAGAGTCCGCTCACTGCGAACATGAAGACAAGAAAGACCGTCTTTTCCGTGGGTCTGGACACGTAGCATTCAACCTCTTTAATACACGGGTAGCGGTCACACTCATACATAGAAGGGACATTGAAACCATAGAGGAAATACTGCCCCATGAGGAAACCAATCTCTAAAGCATTCCTGAAAACAACTTGGATGATGTAGAAACGAGAGATTCCTTCCTGCCTTCGTATCTTTGACATCTTACTGTTTCTGGCAGAGGAGTTTTGTATTTCTTTAACTTCTAAAAAGTCTGTCCCTTTCATGGAGTTTTCTGAGTTCTGGAGAATCCCATTCACTACTGTATTTTTAATCTTATTGTCCTCTCTCTTCTTGTCCTTTTCCATAGTGATGAACACACTGGAGTACTGTCTCTCCCGCTGTTTGGAGGATTGGTGGACCGAGTAAGTGATAAAGCAAAGGCTGGGAGTACACACCATGATGATCTGGAACACCCAGTACCGTATATGGGAGATGGGGAAAGCCTTGTCATAACAAGCTTGGTTACAGCCCGGCTGCAGAGTGTTACAGACAAACATGGTCTGCTCGTCATCATACACCGTCTCTCCGACTATCGCCACGACCAGGATCCGGAAGATCACGACCACTGTCAGCAAAATCCTAAAAAGGGACAGAAGGAAATAGATGGAACTGATTTCAAGCCGTTTGACACATTCACTAGACAGTTCTGCGATAGAGACAGGAGCAGTTGTTCTGCAAACCCCGACATATTCTATATCCCTCCACCGTCCAGATCTGAAAAACATCTACAGATACAACTTTGGAGAAGTTTATCCTAACGCAGCCTCATTGCGCCAGCAAGGATTCACAGAACGTTCTGTGTTCACAGGTTTCTATCAGGTTCCCACCGCACATCTACTTTCCGCCTAACTGCTACAGATACCTTTGATATTTCTTGTACTTGAGACGTTCGGCTACCTGGATTGAAAGACTAGCAAAGCTAACCGTCATTATGGATACATAATAATGGATTAAAGTCTTCCGAATGAATGCTACACCCCCGAAGTGACTTCGCCGCGTTAAAGGTTCATTTGCTGATTTTGCAGATCCTGCCAATCCTCTTACCTTCCTATCATTGTGGAGTGTTGCTGGACGGCTGCCTCTAACAGCCTCTCTAGAATTGTCCATTCTCCCATCTCTGTGCATCCGGCGACAATAACAGGACCGCAGCGAGGCCGCTCTGCTGGGGATTCTCCCTCCTGTAGTGGGTCAGTGCTCGGAACCTGCCCAAAAACTGTCGGTTTCGTTTAGATCTGAACACAGCAGAGCGAAGCGTCAACACACAGCAGGACCTTGACTACTCAGCGCCTTTAGCCCGCCGTGCCGATTAATGTAATCTCACTCGCTTTGGACAGGAGATTGAAGCAGTCCGAATAGGTGGGGGAGGAGGAGTAGGGGATGGTATTTAGAGTCATGCGGGCTCTAATCTTCCTTTAAATACTTACCTCCTGCGTCACTCACGAGCATTTTTTTTCTATATAGACATCAGCTAAATGAAGATGGATTTTATCGTTTTCATTATTCTGAAATATCCCAGGGCGGATTAATTTGCAGCAAAATTTGCATTGTAATCTTACAACAGCGAAATACCTGACGTGCAATGAGAGGTTAGCAACATAAATCACCAAAGCCAATTGCAGAACAGCAGCCCTTGGAGACACTCAGCGGCTCCGGCAGCATCTGTCCATGGGGCGAATGCAGTGGTCCTTCATCCCAAAGTAGTCTGAATTCCAGAAAGTCAATGTTCAGACCAGAGGACTGCAAGGTGTCCGACTATGGACGCGAGGCGCTTGTTTTCCTGAAGTTCTTAAAGCCAACAACTTTTAAAATTACAGTTTTGTGGAAGCGTTGTGCAGAGGAGCTGGCACTTCTGTTCTCCGGACCCATTCTGCCTGAATGGTTGGGTGCTCCCAGTGTTTTCTGATTCGCTTCCAGATTTTCAGCGCTTGCAGTATGTCGCCCTTCTGGACTCCAGTAAGTTAGTGAGGCGAGGTAAAATTGTGAAAACATCATGATTTGAGCAATTTGACAATTTTACGGGACGGTGGACTAGTATTTCTCATGGACACTAATTTATATGCTAGATAATCACAAATAGTCATCACATCCATGCATATTGCCTTTTCTCCCCCTTGGATTTCGCTAACAAATAGCTTCGAGGTCAAATTGACAAGATTTTTAAAAAATTCGAGTCACTTTGGACTCTAGGCGTTAACTCGGTTTCTCTCTCTCAGATGGTGCCAGACATGCTGAGTTTCTCCAGCACCTTCAGTTTTTATTACAGATCTCCATTATCTGCAGGACTTTGCTCTTGTCGGATTTTTAGTGGATGCCTATCACTTAGTTATAGGGTCATACAGCACGGAAACAGACCCTTCGGCCCAACCAGTCCCTGCCGATCATAATCCCAACCTAGTCACACCGGCCTGAGCATGGCCCATATCCCTCTAAATATGTTTTAATCATGTACTTATCCAAATGTCTTCTTTAAAACGTTGTAACTGTACCACATCCATCACTTCCCCTGGAAGTTCTTTCCACATATGAACCACTTTCTGCGTAAAATAAAATTCCGTGTCTTTTTTAAACCTTTCGCCTCTTCACTTAAAAATATGCTGCCTAGTTTCAAAATCCCAATCCTAGGAAAAAGACACCTGCCTTCACCTTACCTAACCCCTCATGATTTCATAAACCACCATAAAGTCACCCCTCAATCTCATATGCTCCAATGAAAACAGTCCTAGCCTATCCAGCTTCTCCTTATTATTCAAACCCTCCAGTCCCAGCAACATTAGAAGTAAGGAGCTGTATCCACATAGGTCCATAAACATCTCTCTCCACTAGTGAACCAACTGGTCATGTGAAACCACTCCAAAAGCATTGTGATATGGTGAGGAGGCAGATATCTAGAAACAATACAGCCAATATGAGTTTAAACCCATGTTGTCAGCTTTATTCTTCATCACGCACTGATCATCTGGCCAACTGAGTTAATCACACCCCCACTTTCACTTATTGAATATGTCAGGAATACTCAGCCATTTAGTTCTTAAAGTTCCCATCTAAGTCACACACTCTGCTGACTTGGTCCCATATTACACTCCTTATTCATGCCTGGGTCAATTTCCAGTAACTCCCTGCCTGATAATATTATAGGAGCACCTTCACCATACGGACCACAATGGTTAAGATGACAGTTGCTCACCATCTTTTCAAAGGCAAATAACAGTGGGCAATAATTGGTGAACTTGTCTGGAATGTCCACATACTGTGATTTTATTTGTTTTAGAAAGTCAGCATCTTCAGAACAAACAAATAAATTACACATTTTAGGTGTGATTTCTTCCTCGATGAAGGATTAAACCTATCATTTCTCTCTTGATCCTGAGTGTTTCCAGCATGTTTTATTTCTGATATTGAGCAGCAGCAGGTTTTTTTTTTTAAAACTGCTTTGTTCCATTAGTATTGGTCAATTTTGCAGAATAAAATAGGCTAGCCCAGCTAATGAAACCTTTTTTCTTGTTCTATTTAATTTTGTTGGATTCCTGATCCAAATTCTCCACTCAAACTGTTTGCATGAGCACAGGTGTCCATTCAGATCTGTCTCCTTAAGAAACAATGCCTCTGAACTCCAGAACTGTGAATACGTTTCAATCTTCATTAACTATGCAAGACTTTTGTGCAGTGTTGGTACCTGTGACCTATTAGTTTTATTTAAAAATGTTGAACACAGAAAATGTGGAAAAACATTTTAAAAATCAAATCAATTAGTCACACATTAAGAAAGAAACATCAAATAAATAATTCACTGGAGCACTTTCACTCTTTCCATCTCTGCCAAGTTTTAGATAAAAATAGAAATAAATGAATTAAGGGGAAGTGACAGACTAGTAGTATTGCTAGACTATTAATCCAGAGCCTCAGATAATGTCTCAAGGACCCAGGTTCAAATCCCAGCATGACAGATGAGAGTTCGAATAGAATAATAAAAGTCTGGCATTAAGAGTCCAATGATGACTATGAAACAATTGTCAATTGTCATCTGGTTCACTAATGTCCTTTAGGGAAGCAGACTGTTGTTGTTACCTGGTCTGACCAACATGTGACTCCAGACCCACAGTGATATTGTTGACATTTAACTGGCCTCTGGCAAATGAAAAATGGGCAATAAATGTTGGTGTATCCAGTGACATCCAGTGTGAATAAATAAAATTTATCATGTGAATAAAACAAAGAACTGTGGATGGTGAAGATCAGAAACAAAAACATAAATTGTTGGAGAAACTCAACAAGTCTGGCAGCATCTGTGAAGAGAAAGCAGTGTTAACGTTTCAAGTCCAGCGACCCTTCCAGTTCTGCTTTCTCTCCACACATGCTGCCAGATCTGTTTTCTCCAGCAATGTTTTAAAGTTATCATGTGGCTGTGTATGTGAAAATTATACATGGTGATACAAAAAAGCATTTCTGGAAGGTGGCTAATGTTGTTCCATTGTTTAAGAAAGGTAGCAAAGACAAGACAGGGAACTATAGGCCAGTGAGCCTGACATCAGTGGTAAGCAAGTTATTGGAGAGGATACTGAGGGACAGGATCAACCAACATTTGGATAGTCAAGGTCTGATTAGGGATGGTCAGCATGGATTTGTGTGCAGGAAATCATGTCTGACAAATCTTTCAATGTTTTTCGAAGATGTAACCAAGAGGATAGATAAGGGTAGGGCAGTGGATGTTGTCTATATGGACTTTAGTAAGGCCTATGACAAGGTCCCGCACGGCAGGCTAGTCATGAAGCTTAGGTCGCATGGGATCCAGGGAAAGCTCACTAATTGGATTCAAAATTGGCTTGATGGTAGGAAGCAGAGGGTAATGGTTGAAGGTTGTTTGTCGGACTGGAGGCCTGTGACTAGTGGTGTGCCATTAGGGTCGGTACTGGGACCATTGTCATTTGTTATTTACAGAAATGATCTGGACGTGAATGTAAAGGCATGGTTAGTAAGTTTGCAGACGATACAAAACTAGGAGGTATCATTGATAGTGAAGAAGGTTATCAAAAATTACAGCGAGATCTTGATCAGATGGGGAAGTGGGCTGAGGATTGGCAAATGCAATCCAATACAGTTAAGTGTGAGGTGTTGCATTTTGGAAAGTCAAACCAAGGTAGGATTTATACAGTAAATGGTAAGGTCCTGAGGAGTGTTGTGGAACAGAGGAACCTAGGAGTACAAGTACACAGTTCGTTGAAAGCAACATCATAGATGGACAGGGTGGTGAAGAGGGCATGATGCTTCCACCATCCTTTCAAGCGGTGCATTCTGAATCATAATAATTCTCAATATAAAAATCTTTCTTTTAGACATGAGACCACTCTAGCAGAGAGTCTCATTTTGGTGAGGCTATACATTAGATACAGTATAAATATAATCTGGCGCAGTGTTAAAATGCCCAGAAGTTTCGGTAGACCATGTGAAAACCTTTTCAGTTTACTAACAAGTATTTCAAATGTTATTGAAGATTTCTGTTGCCATATAGGTTACAATGGAAATGTTGCTGTATAAAACCAGGATTAACCGACTCTGACTACAGAGAGGCGCTGTGAGACATCCTCTGGATTAGGTAGCCTCAAGCCATTTGAGTTTGATGCTGGACAGAGTTCTAACTGCAGATAAAGTTATAAATTTGATTTGAAACATTCATCAGCTACACCTTCGAGAAATTTCATAAATATACCTGAATTTGGTTAACTTTTAAAATGAAGTCGCCGGTCCTCTATCATGTACTCCACCTGCATCCTCCACCTACCCCTGCCAACTCTCCCACATGCAAACACCAAAGCATTTGCACTTAAGCAGCAAGAATAGGAACTTAGAATACTTGTGCAAACTCACAAGCAGAGCTTTCGCCAGTGCTTCAGAATCTAAACAGTTTAAAAGGGATACAATCTTCTAAGACTGGGCCCTGCAGTATAAATTAAGTAACACATACAGATTTGAGGCAGTATCTGTGACAGGCTTTAAACCAATATAATCTAATTATCTTCATATCTTTGTAGATAAAATGAAACTGGAGTTTACTTTTTTTAATACTGACCTAAAATGCATAATTAAAATTAAATTATACTTATGCTTTTCATATCAGATT